GACCAGCCTTAAGGCTGGTCTCCATAATCTTTATACTCTGCCTTATTCAGCCTTGTGCGGTCTGGACATACTAATGTACGGAGACACACTGACTGAAATTGCAAGACCATTACGACCATGCAAGTCTGGGTCTTGGAAAAAGAAATATAGTTTATTCCCCAGACCGGTGCAGACCGCACAAGACAGAGTAAGACTATAATATGGAGACAAGCCTTAAACGAGGCCTGTGGATATGTACAGGTACCTTCCGTTAGGTGTGGAAAAACCACTAAGACTGGAAAAAGACAGACTAACGGACAAACACACACACAAACAAAACAACAGTACAGCGAAACCTATGAAAAAAGACACCTCTCTTTATAAGGGACATTTGGTTCTGTCTCGTACTAACACATTAGTGTACTGTATCTCCAAATAAAGACGGCTCTAAAAGACGTCTCTCAATGTCCCCAAGCTTGCTGCCGTAAGGACTGACAGAGCAACGATGCAAAGAACAATGTCCAGAAAAGGTACAAGAGAGGAATGTGATAGACTCAACACTAGAACATTCAACTAGACATGAACCAAAGAACAGAGATGAATTCCAGATGAATTATCACCTGCAAATCTTAGTGGTTTCTAAATTTCGTAACAATCTGAGTGTTTAGCTACCAGCAAGAAGTTTTCCACTAATTTGGGTACTTTTTTGTATGAGAGGACGGTAGGTCTGTTTATTTGTACCACAACTACGTATGCATCTGGGTATTATAACGAGCCCACCTAGTCACTTCTTCCGTGCTATTATCACATATTACGTATGAGTTAATTTTTATACCTCAGCAAGATATTCAAGTGTGCATGCAAGAGCTGTCCTAGGTGTAGTTGATTTGTTTGTTGTGCCTTTGCCTTTCCTACCTCGTAGTTTTCACATGCGTTCATACACCGCACTTCTTTTTATACGGAATATTTCCCCAGGTATACACAAGCCTCTTAATTTGCTTTCCTTTCTTACTTAAACCACCACTAGCTGAGGGCACCACAACAGTAACAGGACTTCTGAAAACTGATCAACAATGGCATTATGAAAGGTAGACGCTTATTTTGACCATACGGATCAGACTGCTATGTCAGAAACGGGATATGGGCAAAACTGAGAGTGAAGCTGGATTGCACAAATGTTATGCTGGATAACCTGGGTCACCCCTAAGAAATATCTTACTTAGATACCTAAGTTCCTTGTATGAGAGGACGGGTGGCTTGTTGAGATGTTTCATCTGAATGGCCAGGTTCCGTATCGTGTCCTCCAGCTGAAGGTATGAGGCCGGTACCAGCTGGTCCATTAACAACCGGTAGTCAGGGATACGACCACACCCTATGCCACGCCCAGCAACTGAGCGAGAGGGTGGTCATGTGATGGTCACATGACCACAGAGGCCACACCCACCTGTGTTCTCCTTGACTTGACTGGCGACATCGAAGAGGGCATTGCGTAGCTCATTGATGCCCCGCCCACTTTTACAGCTGACAATCATGCTCCTCATAATCTGGGGAAATCACTCTCGTTGTCTGTCTGCAGTACCATACACTCGTGCTGCAGGGGATAAAAGCAGTATCTATAGCAACGGTAGTTCTAATAAAGCCTGGTTCACAATATGACGCTAGATTTCATTTCATTTCGTCACTGATGTTCCTCAACGCGCTGCACTGTTCGCAAATTTATAATACAATGGTAGCTGACGAAACGTACGTTGCCTCCAATAGGTCATCCAAACCAGACTTTCCAGCACGAAACAACAAAACAGACAACTCATTATGAACGCTATCACGCCATATTCCCTCCTGGTGGGGTGAGGGAAATAATTTTCGCAGCCCTCAATAACAAAAGATGCACATTAGTGCACAAACACTTATCACTAAGTATGGTAGTACTTAGTATATAGGGATTGGCATGGTACCTAGCATCATAGATGTATGGGGCTATGATAGAGTGTTTTGTTCATCTTCTTCTTCTTCTTCTTCTTCTTCAGATTGAACTCGCGTAACTGAAAAACTAAATAACATATAGTAATGAAATTTTGTAACAATGTAGATATCCATCACCCGAAGAGACTGGTTATACTTATTTCTTTGTAAACAACAACAAATAGCCCCAGGCAATACGTTATAATGGGATCACATGTGTTAGTATAACTCACAAATGGTAAGAGCTATGTGAACGAAACTTTGTAGACATAATGTGTTCAATCACCAACATTAAAATTACAACAATACATGTTTGTATACAACAACAAATAGCCCCAGGCACTTTTCTTTAAATTACTTCTCTCCTCAAACTCTTCAATGGTAGCACACATAGAGATGAAACTTGGTACATATGCCTATTATATCATTTCCATGACGATTACTTGTTTCCATGACGACCACATTTCGTTTTAAAAAAGCCTGAGGCAATTCTCTTTAGCCCCACATCTTCACTCCTCAAACTTGCTAATTGTAGCACGCATGGAGGTGAAACTTGGTGCTGTATATCGTTTCCATGACGACCACAACAACAAATAGCCTCAGGCACTTTTTTTAAAATTCTCCACTCCTCAAACTTGCTAACGGTACCACGCATGGAGATGAAACTTGGTACGCATGTGTATAACATCGTTTCCATGACGACCACAACAACAAATAGCCTCAGGCACTTTTCTTTAAAATTACTTCTTCACTCCTCAAACTTGCTAACGGCAGCACACATGGGGATGAATGCATATCATTTCCATGACGAAAACAGGCCTTTATTCTCTATTATTAATTTTTATTGGGGCTTGCCCCCTTCCACAGAGATAATACCAAGTAGTATATAAAAATGAGTGGAGACAAGTAAATTAAAAATCCTGCGAATTTAAAAAAGTGGCATATAGGGATGGTATAAAAAGAAAGGGAGGCAAGATAGGGATGGGATACATGAAGCATGGTTAATGAACAGATTTGAGTACGCTGACACCCCCAACCCCATCACACAATCCCTATATTGTTGCCTAGGTGAAGTATTAAACATTCACCATTACAATACTCAGAACTTACAATACACTACTGAGTAACCAACACCCTTATAGAGCTCAAGTGGAGTTTAATTAAAGTGAATGTGGCAGTATAAATGTTACTGAATACAACAGGGAGACAGTGAAAGAATGCTTGCTTTTATTAACCTTTAGCCCCTATAAGAGTAGCACACCAGGCAACAATATAGGGATTGTGTGATGCCAGGCCACGTCTGCAAGCTGATTGGTCGGAACGGCAGCGTGTTCCTGACGGACGCCTGTCACCTCCCAAACACAGAAGGAGCTGGTCTGAGGAGAGACAGATCTCTGTGAGTGAGTGGTTTGCTCTCTTCTGCAGCCCCCAATCATCTTCTCTTTTCCCCTCTCTCCTCTATTTTTCAACTTCCTCTCTCCCCTCTCTATTTCTCCCTCTTAATTGTAGGGGTTATAGTAGGGATGGAGTGTCATGAGTATGTGATTTGACAGTGCTGTATGATTGGAGGTAGTGCCTTACCTAATATTAGGCATACAATACCCAGTAAAACCATCCACTTTTGGTTTGGCTACTCTCAACTTTATAGCCACACTGCCCTTTCTCTCTTCTCTCTTATGCCCACCTCCCTCCCTCTTAGTTCAGTGGATGTGGTTGCCATGGTACTGGCTCCCCTATTCTGTGAAAGAGGCCACCCAACAGGACTCATTCTTGCCACCTCTCTCTCCTCCCTCCCTCCCTCCCCCCTCTCCTCTCCCACCCCCCTCCACCCTTCTTCCTCCCCCACAAGACAATCTCACAAGTTTCATTGACAATGTGTGTGTGTGTGTGTGTGTGTGTGGTGGGGTGGGGAGGGTGTGATGGTTGTGAGCAGTGCCGTGATGCTCCCGGTGATGAGTGGAGGTCTCCTAGTGAGTGAGGAGGACGGCTGTCTGCTGGGCATGATCGTCTCCATTTCAGAGTGAGAGTTCTCCCCTTTTCATTTTCTCCCCTCCCTTCCGAATGGTCTCGTACCCAGACCCCGCCCTCAGGATAAAAATGGTCTGGTGACTGTTGAGCAATTCTTGGTAGTGCTGACTCGACAGTCTTACACCGAATCTGATGTGAGGGGGCATGGGAAAAGGGACCTATGTGGCTGGAATGTGAAAATTAAGTTTTTGAGGGTGAAAAACCACAAAAACTTAATTTTCACATTCCAGCCATATAGGTCCCTTTTCCCATGCCCCCTCGTTTGCCAGCAGTGTGAAATATCACCTGTTGTATTCGTAACCATAAGATAGCTCCTTGAACTAAGTGTCTATGAATGAAAACGGTTTTTTGTGCAGCCACTCAATAATGATGAGTCAGCACACAACCAAGAAATCGGTCACAAGACCAAGTTCAACTTCTGATCAGCCCGGGGTCTGGGTACGAGACCGCCTTTTCAAGAGATGCCTCTATCTATATATAACCTCTTTCTGTTCCTCCTCACAGGGATGCCACCATAGGCCACACCTACTCCACTGTTAACTACTCCCTGTTGTTGCCATGGTTACTACCAGCCTTGCTCCCCTACATACTGAAAGGTGGGAGAGCCCTAACAACAACGAAATATTTCGTGACTCAAAACTTAGTCTTATAAGGCAAAGGTGTGTTAGTGTTACTCACCTTTACCCTGGCAGGAGAGGCTGAAGATCTTCACCAGCTTATGTCAGAGAACGGGGAGAGAGTGAAGCTGCTGTGGACACTGGGCGGAGGAGGTGATCTCACCAGCAAACTGTAGACCTCTAGTCATGGTGTGAATCATGCATGTTTTCCTGTGGGTTCATCAGTGTTAACTATTTTGAATGGACGGACAACAGCTCAGGCATAATGACTGTGTGATCATTTTTAAATTTTGTCTTTATTCAGTCTCAAAGCCTCAACCTTTGAGTATATATGGCCGTTTGAAATCTGATTGGTCAACTAGGAGAAAGCTAGTTGACTTAGTTTCCTATGAGGAGGAAAACTAAGTAGAAGAAGGAACACTATTGGATAGTGTTCACTCCCAAGGCCCTTTGGAACATTTTTTTGTCGCATGCACCGCAATCTAATTAAACAGTTAGGGGACGAGTCATGAAACCATGTGATTTAGGAGCCAACGTCTAACTATTATGTAATGGAAGATTTGAGGCATCTATGTATACATATGACTATGCATTGTTAGCCATGTAACTATGTTGGGAAGGTTATTGCAGTTCGCAATCGCAACACAGGAGCTCTTTCCTTTGGGGGTGGAAAAAATATCAGTTCCAAATTTTGACGAATCAGCTGGTTAAAAAATTATTCCATCCCTATAATATTTTGTAGTTAACAGTGATTAAAAATGGTGTTTTAATTATAGCGGAAGTGAAAGTAAAAAGCACACACAACACACACGGAAGGAGAGAAGAGGAGGGGCTAAGAGATAGCGTCACTGCTGACCCTGGAGGGAAGGTCCCACACTAACACGAACCCCGATTCCAGGTGTGGTACGGACTCAGGACCGTCGTAGTAGGAACCGGAATCCGGACCCGAAACTGAGTAGCTGGTCCCTAGTCTAGCCGTGTCACTACGCCACTGCTACTGGTGGACTGGGAGTTGGACAGTATGGAGCTCTCAGAGTACTGGGAGTAGGGGTTTGACATGGGAATGGGACTTGGGTCAGCAGAATTGGGCTGGGACCAGCGGGCAGTGACATGGAACCGAGACTGGATCTGTCTGGGAATGAGTTTTCGAGAGCTCTTCTTTCTGGCGAGGTCCAGGCGGCTTGAGTGCTTGAGTAGTGAGGTGTCGTGTGTCGTGGAGGTGAGGGGCGATGGTGCAGAGGTGTCCTGAACGGGGCCTGTGGCAGGTGAGGCTGCTGATGGTGGGAGAAGGTGAGAGCATCGAGGACTAGGATCTTCCCCGAGCAGAGGCCGACTAGGAGCTGCTGTGTGTGGCAGTGTAGGGAGCTGATCTTGCAGTCTGTTGGGGGAAAGATGGAGGAAACATAGAGAGGGGATAACCAATGGAGGGAGTACTGATGGTGTTGTGTGTGTGTGTGTGTGTGTGGTTGCAGCAAGCATGCTGTGGACAATTATGTTGGGTGTTTTGTTAATGGCTCAATACTGGTCATTTGGCAGACAATATTGCAAGCATTGTGCACAGGAGAGAGGGGGTGTGGTGCAGTGATGCATTACCCACAATAATGTTAGGTGTACACTTGATGCTCATTCACATGGTAGAGTGATTGTATGGAAACAGTGAGACTTTGCTCACGACAAGTCATCGTGCACCAATTCAATGCAACCAAGAATTCAGTAAGTAGACGAATTTATAATGGGCCCGATGCGATAAAGATAGAATGTGGACAGTAGACAAACATACATCGAGACCACGAGGCAAAGTGCACAAGTTACAGTTCAATCAAAGAGCTGCCCTAGGTGGGATTCAAAACCCACTACACTCATGCAGTCCTAGGCGGAGTGGTCTCTACCAACTGAGCACACACTCAGCAGTAGACAGGTTCAAACTCTACACCACAACACAACCCAGACAAACGCAAGACCGTTAAAAAAACCACCGTGCTATGGCACATTACAACACTGTCATGCACACACAAGGTGAAAGCACCATAGTCATATCCAATTACTTCAGGAAGAACACAGGAAAACGAGAGTTTTGCCCCCCCTTGTTGAACAAGCGTAAGAAAAGGTTTGGACCCCCCCCAACCCCCAATGTTCACAGATGACTCTCTAAGGTCTAGTTCACAATGATGGCACATTGGCCCCTCCGTGTCCGTGCTGCGTCTTGTCCTGCCGCGACGATTAAATATAAGTCAAAATAAAATGGAGTCTATCCTCGCGGCACGACGGGCCAATGCGCTCTTGTGAACTTAGCCTAAAAACGGCTGCCGGATCTGACTCTTTTTTTAGTTGAAAGTTTTGTCGTTTTTTTGGGTTGTTTTTTGGTTTTGTGGTTTTTTGTTGTTTTTTTTGTTTTTTTAGTTTTTTTTTTGTTTGTATTTTGTTTTTTTTTTTTGTTGGTTTGTTTTTAGTTCTTGTTTTTTTTTGTTTTTTTTTGTTTTTTTTTGTTGTTTTTTTTTTTTAGTTCTTTTTGGTTTTTCTTTGTCTTTATCTTTTATTTTTTTTTTTTTTTGCTTCTTTTGTGTTTTGAGTTATTTTTTTATTTTTTTTTTTTTGTTTTTTCCGTTTGTGTTTTTTATTGTGTTTTTGTTTTGTTTTTATTTTTTTATTTTTCCACCTATTTATTTTTTCTTTCCCTGTCTCCTTCTCTGGGATTCCGCTTCTTTAACACTCCTTAACACCACATCCTGAGATTCCACTCTGCCGAGGAGCCTGAGGACCCGACAGAGAGAAAACTTTGGCAAGTTACCTAATGTCGCATAAGTCCAGCAGCTAACTTAGGCAGACAATTCATGGAATTCTAGACTATGCTTTGAAGCAGTGGGTGCATTTTACACACAGCCACTGGTTTTTTGGTATGCCATATGTGTTTTTTTTTCGTCGAGGCAGAAAATTTGTTCCTTTGCTCTAAACTCCAGAGCCTGGTATAACACAATTACAACACTGTGTGTTCCGGGGGTGCAAATGCACTACTGAAATGAAACATTAGGCTCCGATAATTTTACTTGAAACAAGTAAAGCCCGATATTACACGAACAACCTCTTGTGTGTCATTGCACCTCGGAAATTGGAGAACACCTTTGTTGTTTTCAAAAGGTTTGGGGGGAAGAGAGACAGGTTGGCGTGAGCTATCAAGGACAGATTGGAGTGAGATCGGGGTAAAAGCGTGAGATTTGGTGCACGGCTGTCTGTCTTCTAGCCTCACCTGTTCTGAGTCACAGTACGGAGATGACTGGCTGTAGACCATGTTTAGTGTATCGAGGTAGGCCCTGTCAGCTTGTGTAGGTGACTTGTCACTCGTGTTCCCTAAGACTTTCACCACCGAGAGGTTCCCGCAATGTTCAAGGATCTTTATCATCGCCTCTGACTGCCCCACCACAAGCTCATGAGAAGCTCTCACCAACCTTTCCCCCTGTTGGCGTGGCACAGCCGTAACGCAGCTGGCGGTCTTCCCGAAGATTCGTGGTACTCCAGACTGGCTGTAGTTTGCGTCCTCCTCACCCCAGCCTCGCCCTCCACCCACCTCGGCCTCAGGCAAAGACAGAGCCAGTGGCCAGAGTGACAACAGACCCTCCCGGTGGTGAGGGACGTGTACTGATGCTAATGATGGGAGTGTACTGTCTCAGCCATATCTGGGCCATAGGTGGTGGGAGGATGAGTCGAAGATGAGGATGGTGGCGTCTTCTGGACACGACCCACACGCGACCCCATCGCAGCTCATGAGGGGTCCAGGATTTGGTGGGTTGTGGGTGTGTGGTGTGTTGAGAGTCTCCATGTCCATCTCCTGTGCGCGTGATAGTGAGAGAGAAGAGTGGTGAGTGGTCATAGATAGAGAGAAGAGTCCCTGGACGTATATACAAACCAGAGGTGAAGGAGATTGGATAAACCTACTAGGGTTGAGTGTCTGGGGATGTTTGAGGTGCAATACATGTGATGTACATGCAACGCATGTACATAAGAATGGCCACGTATTATTCGCGCGCCAGCGCAGAGCAGTCAATATTTTGATTAGTTACCTCGATACTGGTGAATTGTCCGCAGTAGCCCACCACACTCAGAACAGCTCTGTGAGCATTACACGAAGCCACCCACACCTCACAGCCCGCCTCTTCCTCCGAGAGAGACCAGACAGATTCTCGCCACTGGGCGAGAACACCAGCCCCTCCTCCTCCTCCTCCTCCCCTCTCGCTCCGCCCTACACCCTCTCCGTTCCTGTCTCTTCGCCGTGTGAATACACGACCTTTGACCCTGAGAGTCGACCGGCAGCTGAACGGACGGGAGTCTGATAGGTGGGTGTGGCTCCAGTGATGGGTGAGTCTGGGGACCCGGGAACGAGAAATATCGTACGGGGTGGGGCTTGGGGGTCAGGGAGAGGAATTTTGCGGGGGTCGAGAGGGGTCTTTGGGGTGTTGGGGACCAGGAATGTGGGGGGCCAGGGGGGCTGGGGGGCCGTTCTGTCTCAGAGAATTGGTTGATGAGGACACTTGGGTGATAGCAGTCTGAGATGGTCAGCATTGGTTCCCTAGCCGATCCCCCAGCTTTGGGGGTGTGGTTGGAGGGGGCGTGGTCAGTGGTAATTTGGTGGTGGTCGGGCGGAGGAGGGGTGGAGTCAGGTTCACTGGTGGTACAGAGTTTACTGGAGAACCCAGTGTCGGAAGTGCCAGAGATTGACGTTCGTCGCTGTCTCTCACAAGTGTCAGTGGGATCATCTGGTGTGTCACCAGTGTCAGTGGGATCATCTGGTGCGTTACCAGTGTCAACCGGATCACCAAATGTGTTACTAGAGTCAGTTGGTTGAACAAATGTATCACCAGTGTCACTACGAGTTACATCTGGTTCGATTTGAACCTCAATAAAATTGTCTGTGCTATGCTCACTCTTACGAAACACATCTCCAACCTGCCCACTACTTGATTCATATTGACTCATTTCAACACTGTCTTGAAGCACTTTGACACCACTCAATAAGACCGCGTCAGTGTGTGACTCCAGTCTGCTATCGCCCAACCAGTGAAGTCCACCTTCAGTTGACTGTCTGTCAGCGACAAACGGGTTAGTGAGGTCCGTGTGGATCGGTGGACGTGGTGATTTCTGACGGTGGTGACGGAGTGAAGTGAGGACAGAGTGGGGAGAGAGAGACACGCAGGCTGCTGTGACCTGGGAGATCAGGTGATCATCACATGACGAGGAGTAATCTTGACACCAGATCGTAGTCTTACGTACACACATACCCCGCCCTCAGGAGAGGAAGCGGGTCTGGTGACTATTGAGCAATGCTATTGGTCGTGTTGACTCAATACAAAGTCTTTCTGTGTACCCATGAGTGGGATCAAAACGTACTGATGATAACACAGCTGAATAAAATTTGCTCAATTGTCACCAGACCTTTCCTCTCATGGGGGCAGGGTGTGTGTGTCAGAAATAGAGCGAAAATCTGAGGACACTCCTAATACGAGGACACCCCTCTAATAAGGACACCTGTCCCTGCAACCCCTGAAACAAGGAAACCACGTCCCACTGTAGACAGACGAGGAGTGGAGATCATGTGACTCTCACCTGACCCCTGCTGACCCGGATACCATTGAGAAGCCGTAGGAACTGCTCCGACTGCGCAGTGGAGATGATGTCATCGGCCGAGGGTCTGTGGTCAGGGGTGTTGCTGCCAGCACCACACCATCAGCTCTCTCAGGAGAACTGCACACTCCAGGTCCTACGGGGATGAGGGTGAAGAAAGTGAATATATGAAACACTGCAACACAACAATGAAAAGCCCACATTTATACACTACAGAAATGCAACGCATTGTTTGGTGAGCGAGTGCGAGCAGTTCAATATTTCACGCGTGTTTTGCGCGTATTTAGAATCACGTGGTACATTACGGCAGTGACAGCGCCCGACCGATAGACATGCAATAGAAAATTCCCACATTGAAAACGACTAGTAGGTTCTGGCTGGCTTCCCTCGCCACATTACGTAGTGATGTGATGTAGTATGTCCAGCGATGGCTACTAGTCGTCCAACTTCGTACAGTTTCATTTGTATAAACAACACTAAAGTGCAAACCATCGGCGAACTGCGCATGCGCGGTACCACTAATTGATGGGCTGGGCTTTTAGTACGCCTTTACTCGTGGTCTCCCGCTAGTAGCTCAGTCATGCATGAGCGCGAAGGGTTAATTAGGCTTGATGTATGACAATTGGATGACAAGTGGACCTTGGATAAAAGACCTGATGGTGACAAAACTGCAGTAAACTGGGCTCTTGTGAGAGTGACAGGTGGAGAGAAAGTGAGTGTGAGACTTGTCTTCCTGGTGAGGGCCGGTCGTGAGCCACTCTCGTTTGCCTGGTTTGCCTGCTGTGCCGTCAGGTTCTCGTAGGGAATGTGCAGAGTCAGCAGTTCATACATGAACATCCCGAATGAGAATATGTCCACCTGGTTGGTGTATACCTGTGGGGAGGGAGGGGGTTGGGTGGTAGTTCAGTGACAGAGAAAGAGGGAGGTTGGTTGGTTGTGCAGTGTGCAAGGGCATTGTTTAGAATTTACACAACAGGAGCAAAAACGCATGAGGCCTCTGTGGGGGGGGAGCGTGAACAGGTCGTCCTGCAGGTTGTGTTTTGCCTTACAAAAGGTGGGGATGCAAGAGGGGAGGGAATCCCACATAGAAAAAGCCTGATTTGAGCGACTAACTCCCTTGTAAAAAACCCTGGCTGATCAGCTATACCTCTTTGCCGTGTACTTCAAGATCTCGGGGGCCATATACCCAGGGTTCCAACGAGGCCCCTGGCCCCCTGAGTTGCTGCAACTGACTGATCCCCAGATCTGAGAGTTTGACCAGCACCGTCTCCAATCCAAGTCGACCCGGGGGAACGAGAACGGAGTCATGTGGCATGGGCTACCGCCAGACAAGGACATTGTCGCTCTTGAGGTCTCTGTAGATGATGGAGCAGTGGTGGAGGTAGCGGATGGCATGTGCCACCTGCAGCCAGCATAGAGGAGGGAGAGGGAGAGGGAGATAGGGAGGAGAGGGAGAGGTGAAGATTCAGCAGTGATACCTGCAACTACCAAATTTCATGTAATAGAAGGCACTGAAGTGCTAAATCCTCAGCGCTGTGCACATGTGCCCATATCCGACAATTTTGTAAAACCATACGCAGATACTTCTAATGCCAAGAAGTCTTGTTTGTTATTCATATCATTACCTCACGCTCTCTCACGGGGCTCAGTAGTAGCGGCATAACCAATACTGGATCTACATACTAGCCCCTTTGTGTGTAACTTAGCCCATGAACTAGCTTTAAATAAAATCATTATTCTATACTAACTACCATGCTTTTCTCACCATAAACTGATGAGCACATGACTCTGACAAGGAATCACTGAAATGGACCAATCCCAGTCCAGCCCAGCTGGCTCAGCTACTGTATACCATACCTGAAGGATGACACGCCTGCACCACGTTGCCACGGAGAGTGTGTGTTGCAGCTCGTGGAACCTGGTTCCAGGTCTTCTTGAGCGCCTGGCGAGCATGCTCGCGGATGAGTCCCAGGCTGCGCGGAGGACCACTCCAGTGGAGTTGGATGACGTGGCGATTCCGGAGAGGATGCCAGGAGAGCTAGCTCCTCTTGAGCGTTGTTGAACCCTGTATGATGGAGTAGCGGGAGGTGTTTTTCGCGTTGGCCTCTTGTTCGGGGCGGCGAGTGGCGGGTCAGTGGTGGAACTGGTTGTCTGTCTGGTCCATCTCTTTGGTGAGTGACTTTCAGTCCAGGGCAAACGGACCACTGCGGTTCAGACTGGGAGAGGGAGGGAGGCGACAGAGAAGGGCTGGTTTAACAGGATGAAATCACCACCCATTAATGTTTTAGGACACATCTGATAACATCCAGATGCATGTAGATGGCACCCTTCTTGTGCTCTAGAGTGAATGTGTTTCTGTCCACTGTGTGATGTAAATGAATCGCTTTTTCTACATATGCGTGCTGTACGTCATAGTCGAGCACTGTAGCTACATACGTACCTTCTCCGTTTCCTGAAGCATTGTAGATGGCACCTTCTTGTGCTTCTAGAGTGAATGTGTTTCTGTCAATTTGTGTGTTAAATGTCTCTTTTTCTACATATGCGGTGCTGTACGTCATGTGGAGGCACTGTAGCTACATACCTCTCCGTTTTTCCTGATCCTGACTTGGAAGACGGTGGCGTAAGCTCCCTGACCCAGGACCCCCTCCTCCACACAGTCGTCTCCACTGACCAGGATCTCTTTACCCTGGGCCACAAACAACTGGGGGAGAGAGGAAGAGAGGGAGAGAGAGAGAGGGAGAGAGGGAGAGGGGACGAGAGGGAGAGAGGAAGAGAGGGAGATACGGTGTCAGTAAAGTAGAGGGAAACAGACTATATTTTTCCACAGCCTCGTGAGGGAAAAATAATCACACTATGTCAGCCCCCAATTTTCAATATGCTATTACAGCTACACTGCAGAATGGAGCAAAATTTGTAGCTTCGGTTAAGGAGGCCCTCTGTGAACAACTCAATCACCAGAAAACTATTGTAGTCTTATGATGTCTCACGGTGTCTGGAGCCATGTATCTGAGGAGGATCTTCCCGTGGGCGGGGCAGGTGACAAAGTCCTGACTCCGAGCCAACACCACACAGTCATCATATCGGAATGCATAGTTGTATGGATCCTGGACCGCTTTCAGGTCTCGTTCCGGTACCAGGTACCGGTTCCCGCTCGGGTCTACATAGTACTGGCCTGGAGATGGGGCTGGGGGCTTGGGGACTGTTCCAATCTGGGGTTTTCCCCCAGGTCGCCATGGAGATATCCTTCCCAGGAAAGACTTGTGAGGCGGGACTGTTGTTGCCGGGGCGACGGGATGCAGTGGGGGTGTGGCTTTTAGTGGGTGTGGTCTGTTTTCCCCCGGTGACGGCCGTTTCTCCCGAGAAGGTTTCCTTGCGACGGGGCCCTTGGTGGGCGGAGCCTTGAGGCTGGTCTCGGCAGAGAAGGAGCGCAGGAGAGGTACCTGCTGTGGGCCACGCCCCTCTTCCTCGGCTCGGTCGTCTCGTGAGGCACAGTGGGGACAGGGTACCAGGTGGTAGCGTGGCTTCACTCCTGCAGTCAGGGCAACAGTGTATGTTTTTACATTTGGTAATAATACATGTAAAAAATACCGTGTGATGATGAGACAACTACATAGGCGCTAGTAGCAAGTAACTTCTAATAATTATGTTGCTACAATCATTTATGGCAACTTTTGTATTATATGAATACCCTCTGGAGGGAGAGAGAAGAGAGAGAGAGAGAGAGAGGAGAGAGAGAGAGAGGAGAGAAGAGAGAGGGAGGAAGAAGAGAGAGAGAGAAGAGAGAGGGAAGGAAGAATGGAGGGAGGTAGGGATAGAGAGCTGAAGAAGCCTCCTACCAGTGAACCAGTCCTCGACCAGCAGAGTAATGTGGTCCACAGCCTTGGACACGAGCCCCGCCCTCATCTTGTCGTGCGCCTCCTCCTCCACCACGGGCGGGGCCGGCTGGGGTGTGGTGGGTGGAGCGTCACGGGTGGAGCTTCGAGAGCCCCTGGAGAGAGACCTCATTGAGTGTCTCGGAGATCTGGGGAGGGAGAAAGAGACGTATGTACATCATTTGCAGCATAGCAATCTTTGAACTACAGTGTGGGAAACATGTTTCCATGATAAGGTGTCTACATTTGTATCCATGCATGTACAAACCATAGCAGCGCATGTGCAAAGGAGAACAGATTGTAAGTAAGCTATACAGCTACGTATGTGTTGCTTTTTGTACTTACGCCATTTCATTGCTGGGAACTCTGCGTCGGAGGTGGAAACTGTTTGGCCTTTCGGCCAACCCATTGCCAGATGGGACAGTCCCATCCTCAGATGGGCCGCCCCAGTTTACAGTGGGGCGGGTAGAGCTGGAAACATTGCAGCTGAGGAGCCGACACCTGTCCTTACACTTGCGAGCCAGTCTCTGGACCTCTTCCTCAATCTTGTCTATTTCCACTACCCTGTTTGCACCGCTGCTTCCTTCCTCGTCACAGCCACATGACCTGTCATGTGACCCAGACCCTGAGTCATGTGACCCAGAGCTCTGGATCATCTCGGAGGAGGTCTCTATGTTAACTTCTGGCACTAACGGAGGTCCCGCGTTTGATTCCGATGTCACGGAATGTGCCGCACCCCCAGGAATGGGTCTGAGACCTCCGGCAGACGACGTGGACTGGAGACTGGAGGAGGAGGGGCCTCGCTGTTTCCCGCCCGTCTTACTCTGGGAGGAGTGTTCGAGGAACTTGAGGATGGGGAAGAAGTCGGGGACAGTCACACTGATGCCTGAGATCTTGGTGTTGCTGCTGCAGGTGGAGATTCTGTGCATGTTACCACGTCTCATAACTGGTGCTACGTATGAAGAGATTAAGAAGTAATTGGGGAGTGGAGGGAGAGCTTAGTCGTGCGTTTTTCCACTATTGGCGAGAGAAGCGAGCCCACCTAAGTCATCTGTAATGGCAGATGAACAGACGCACGCACTACCATTATTATGATTCTTATGTGCGAAAACATGCACGAAATATAGTGAACTGCTTGCTTCGCCTGCAAAAAATGCTTTGCTATACTGAAAACTGTAAATGGTACATGATATGTACCTGATAGGGTCCCAGTGTCCATCTTTGAATATCTTGACCCCGGCCCTCGTCTGCTGGTTGGGGAATAGGGAGTCCTTCAGTTCTTCAATAGTCATGAGGTTGAGGTTTCCGTATTGGAGAATGAGACCTTCTCTCCACTTCACCCAGCTCAGCTGGTCCACATCTGTGAGGGGGAGTGGGAGGAGGAGAGAGAGGAGGGGAGGAGGAGGGGAGGAGGGGAGAGAATTAAGGACAGGTAGCTGTAAATCAAAAGAAGCAAACTTACACGAAGGACAACTCTTTCTTTCCTTGGAAAAAAGAGCTGTCCTGGGTGCAGTTGATTGCCTTGTGGCCCCAATGATGTTTGCATGCATTTACAGAACACTGGACTGAGTATACTAGAATGACTGACACCCATCATTGGTGAGTGAACTAACATAAGGTTCACAATATGTCGCATTGGCCTGTCGCACCGTGCCGTGCCGCGAGGATAGACTCCATTCCTATCTCCGTGGCTGGACGCGATGCGGCGCAGCGTGACGGGGCAATGCACCATAATTAATGTGAACTAACATCACCGTATGTGTAGTGTATGTGTGTGCAACTCAGACTAGGCTCGCTTCACAAGGACGGAATCAAAGATTTCAAAACTGGAAGAGGTGCCCAAAATGTCTGGTGAGTATAAAAAGTGCTGAGCCTCACTAACCATTTCCCTCAATGTTGCATCCGTCCCTAGACAGCTGTATGATGGTCTTATCACTCAGCACCCGCGACATTAGCCGCGGCCAGAACCCACTTGGTACAAACGGGATGATGTAAGCATGACGTAATGGTGGAAGCACTCTCTGTGGAGAAAGAACTCAGGTTTATCGATCTCTCCCTCTATCTCTTCTTCTTCCTCTCTCTCACACACTATTCTAAACTGGCATACCAGAGAACTGGGGAAGACATTTTGAGGTAGATTTGGCCTCTCACAAGGTAGTGTGGATGGAATTAGTAACTCTCCATCACTCAACTCCACAGCAACTGTGACATTACCATTACATCATACCATTACATCACCATTAAGTTGTAGATTGACACAACCATTACATCATCATTACATCATGCAATACACACAGAAGGTGGTATAGGCACCGTATATACCTACCTTCAAAAGTGGTGAGAAGTCTGATGTATTCTCTCTTCCATCTCATTGGGAAATCTTCAGTGTTGAATATCAGCGGAAAATCCGCAATTCGCATCACTCCTGTGGGGAACACATACGTGGACGGAAAGGGTTAAACCTAGCTGCTATTGGCGAGGGTTAACGCACTAATGTTAAATGCGTATAGATAGATTAAATCTAGCTCATTAATTATTCATCACTTAACATTATACTGCTTTGCAGCAGTGGTCCCGGGGTTAGTGCGCTGCATTGAAGTGCAAGGGTTGCAGGTTCGAATCTCATCTGGACCACTTTTTTTCTTTTTTTCTTTTTCTTTTACTTTTACTAATTTTTCATCACGGCCAGTATAGTGGCCCACTGCATGAAACATGCACACAATGAGCTAAAGCAGCTGACCCTCTCTCACGAAGGGGTTAATCTCCCTGACAGTGATGATGTGTGCCAGCATGTCGCAGAGCCACTGAGGGTCAACAAAGTAGAAGTCGGCCAGGAGAGGATCCTCGTAGTGGAGGAGGGTTCCGTTGTCGTGGAGAAACCGCACAGACTGCTCTAGTTCTCTGTCGGCCGAGTGGCGGCTGATTAGGGTACGGCTGTCTCCAAACACCAACTCCCTGGAGACAGACAGTAACTATCAACTGAATTGAACAAACTGAATACGTAGAACAAACACTTTTCTTTTAGAATGG